CTCTTTATACTCTATTCCCATGGCTATTAATGACCCTGAAATTTCTTACTGGCTTAAAGGCCAACCTTCTGAAAAACACTTTATATATAAATCTCAAAAGTATGATGTCCAAAGTGGACATGATAATTTCTTATCTACAGAAACCTAAATGTGTTTCTTATCTCAGTAAATGACCAATCATTCACACGGTTTCTGAAGCACAAACCTATAGGGACTTTCTGTATTCATTCTTCTCCTTTATTCCTTTCTATCCAAAACACCCATAAGTGTGCATGTCACCATCATAATAAATCTATTTTTTGACTTCTTGTCCTCCTTCCAGTGCTACAATTATATTTCAGGTCACATATTAGATGAAATAGTGCCATAATATCCTATTGGTCATCTGATTCCTATTCTTGTCCTGCACACTCTCAACTGGAAACAATCTATATAATACTGTGCAGGCTGGGTCATCTCCTTTTTATCAGCTATAAATTAGAGTTGTCATAGCTCATAAACTTCTATTCACCTCTCATGAAACTTGGAATTCTACATCTTCTATATCACCTATACACCATGTTTGCCTGTTGAATGTGTCCACCAAAGTTCCGTATGTTAAAGTTTCTCCTACCAGTGCTGCTACTGGGATTTAGTGAAAACCTTAGGAGGTGGGAGGTTGTGGGAGCTCCTTTGGTTATTGGGGACTTGCCCTTGAAGGAGCTTGTGAGACCAGTCTTTTCTTCTTTCTCTCATTTGTTTCTTGATCATAAGGTGAGTAACTTACTCCATATGTGCCCTACACAATTTCCATTCAGCACCACTACCAGAGGCACACAGTAATGGGTCCACTGAATCAGACTGGAATCTCCAACATCGTGATCCAGAAACAAAACTTCCTTTATACGTTATCTGTTATTTCATTATAGTAATGTATGAAGCTGCCTAAAATAGTGCATTTTCAATCACATTTTAAAGAACTCTTATTCTGGTTCTCTTTGTTCTAATAACACTGAGCTGTCTGTATCCTTTTAATACGCTAAATACTTTCCCATCCCAGCAAAATTCATTTGTTCTGACTAGAATTCATTATTTGAGTCCTTTACAGAGCTGTTTTCTTAAACATGAAACCTCCAATTAAATGGCATGTATTTTCCTTCTTATTTAATCTTCTGCCCATCAGTTCACCTGTATACCTGAACTTTTCTGATGAATTAAGAGACTGCATTTATAACTATAAAGTTACTTAGTTATTTGTGTGATAATTTTCCATCTTCCTCATTAAATAGAAAATTCCATGATGATATGAATTTTCTCAGAACCAAGTATATATTAGAATTTATTTAATATACAGATTAATGAGTGATGAGCAATTACGGATTTGAAATAACTCTGCAAACAATCAACTTTGTTATAAATACCTAGAATCTGACAAGATTCTATGTGCTTCTGAGAACTTACATAAGGCATTTTTTATGTTATCCATGTTGTAACTACACATTTTTGACTGTTCTCAATTGACATTCATACATCAAATTAACAAAATCTATTATTTTATATCAATTTTTCTCATTTACTTCTCATTATCAAGTATTTTTGTTAATATACTCACAGCTTATGTTCATTGGCTGGCTTAAATGAACAATATAGAACTAATATATATGACAAGCTGATTAATTTATTTCCTTCTTTGTCTCTGCCAACTTTGAAGCAAAATATAAATTTTAATTTCATTGACTTTTTAGAGGGAAAGTAAATTAATAACATTCACTTCAAGCAAATGACAGAAGTCACATGGTTTCTATTTTTACATTACCTTTCATTATAATTTTTAACTACCTACAACAATTCAGTCAAACAATCTATGTGTTTTTCCTCTAGGGAACTTGCTAAATTTGCAATTGAGATAAGCAATCAATGTTCACCTCTGCTAAACTATACATAAATATTATTTCAAAAAGAAATTCCTTGGAGGAACTCCTTTGTGGAATGTAAGTTCATTAGTAAGTAATGGATTGCTCTATTGTATGTTTTCTCCCATCAAGCTAATTTGGAATTTCTTAATTGTCTCACATTTCTTTTATATGGCAAAATAAATGATACCTCTGTGTGAGAATTGCCCTGCTTATAATTATACTTTCCATGAGTTAATAGTATCAACTCCATTCAACTTGTATGTTCACATTAATTTATGTATTATAAAATATTTGAAGAATTAAACTGTAGTGGAATTCATCCTCACCTTACTTTCTTCTTTGTGATATATAGATCTAAAAACATAGGGAAATAAAAGAAATTCAGAATTAAAGGAGAAAATCTAAGCACCCTTCTAATGTTCTTTTACATTCAACCAAATCCTTGTCACTATTGCTATCATAGTCCATGACTGAGAGCCTGGGTTTTTATATTCTTTTATTTAAAGAGAATTACAGTTGATACTTATATGAAAAAAGATAAAGTGATATTTGAAAATTTAACATTTGAAATTTGATATTTAAATTTATTTTATTGTTAAATACAAAACGCTGATTTTCTCAAATTACATTAACCTCATTTTCATAAAAGAATCAGAGTACAACAGAACTTTTGATATAAAACATAATTTTTAGAAATATAGCCTAAGAAATAAGTTGTTACTAAAACTGAGGCATGAAAAACTTTATTCATATAGTTTAATCCACACCACTAGATTCACAGAATCGTAACCCTGTAAGATTGCAAGGAGATATTGTCTCTAATCTTTTTTTTTTTTCTCTCTTCATGACACTTTATTGATGATAGGAAATGAGGACGAGACTTGAAGGATTAGGTGGGGCCAAGAGGTCCCAGGTGGGGAGATGGCAAGCATTGAGGCCTGGCCATTACTGGGCAGGGAAGACAGAATTGCCACTGAACACACAGGGGATAAGCAGCTGCCGGTACTCCAGGGGCAGGTGCCACTCCACAAGCACGTGCAATGAGACTTGGTCGGTGATCAGGCCCTACCTTCGCATCAACAGCTCCAGGTCCTCTGGTTTCACAGTCTTGCAGCCCGCATGAGCAGCAAATACCTCCAGGTCATTGCAAAGGTGCTCCAAGTACTTATCCAGACACTTCTCCACCATCTCAAGAGTCTTCCTTTCCACAGGCATCTTAGCATAGAAGCTGAAGAGTTTTGTATAGTAGCTCAGTCCAGCCTTATGAGGATCTTGACGGGATCTAGGACCACCAGTTCAGGGCCTGGAGGGAAGTCTGGCCAACACAGGCTCTGGAGGCTCTGAAGACAAGACTGCAACATCAGGTGATGGGGCTGGTTCAAGAAACTGATCCAGTTGTTTGGCCTGAAGAAACTCAGGGACATTGGAGACTGATTCTGGGCTCGCTGGCCTGTCAGAGATGGCCTCATCCCCTGAAGATCCTTCTGGGTCCTCAGGCTCCATAGCCCTCTGGAATCTCTTTGCTTTTGTCACCTCTGAAGGAGCAGGAGGCCCAGGCTGTAGCTCCATAAAAGGATAAAGATGGAGTAGCAAAGCCAGCCTCACTCATGTGGTTCTGCAGCCCAGGCATGCTGCTCTGTGTCCTGTGATGCACAGCCTTTTCAGTACCTTCAGGCCCAGGGTAAGGACATGGCAGGGAGTGATGCACATTGAGGGAGTGGCCAGCCAAGGGCTATGAGAAAGGCTGGGTAACCTCTAACACAGTGTCTGTTGGCTGAGCAGCAACAGGAGTTCTGAGGCTGTCACCTAGAGGAACTGAGGCCATTAAATTATCTTGCAGATCCTGCAGAAGGGCACCCATATGTACAGCGTGGCGGGTGGGAGGTCTTCGGGCCAATCCAGGTCTCTTCACTGACCGTGGCTGAAGAAGTGTAGCAAAGGTCAGACTGAGGGAGCTGGTGAGGGATGAGGCATCAGGATTCCCGGGAGGCTCTTGGGAGAGAGGCAGTCTCTGGGGTCACCGGTCCATTTCCTGCTGAAACACTGACAAGCTCAGCCTCTGTTTCCTCCTGCCAGAGGCCAGCAGAACTGGAGCCAGGGCTGGGGGGAGCTCAAGCTCAGGAAGTCGAAGTTCTAGGCTGCCCCTACTGCTTTCCCGTCTGGAGGGCTGGGCCACTTAGGGTGCTGGTGCTGGCTTCACCACTCTCTCTGGCATCACGATAGAAGATTCTGGTGCAGTTAGTAGGATGTTCTTCAGCAGAGTCCGGGGAGTCTGTTCCTCCAGGTGCCCAACAGCTTGACCACGAGCCAGTCTGCCAGTAGATCTGGCTCCATGAGAACACTGACTGGCAGTTGCCTTTGTTTGGCCACTCCACCTCTTGGGGGAAGGTGTTTCAAGCAGGGCTCTCTGGGCACTAATCCGAGCACTCCGGCGTCGCCGCGGGGTGCAAGAGTCCGCTGTGTCTAGCGTGTGCCGCAACAGCGTAAGCATTGTGGACTCGCAGTCCGAGCTGTAAATGTTCTCCATCTTCTCAGCCACCCTGCTAACTGCCAAGACAGCCCTATTGTCTCTAATCTGACATGAAAAGCATTTTAGATGTAAATGTTATTATTGGGAATTAATCTTGTTAGTATTTGGAAATGGCAAACAAATCAAGTTATTATTTGAGAAATTCAACTGATCTGGATAACGTTATTATTTGAGAAATAATCTCTTTAGTATTTTAGTGTCCTTGATATTTTTTCTGTTCTATCAATCCATTATTTTTTCTTTAGCTTTTTCATTTATTATGTTTTACTCTGAGAATATCAATGCTTTTTTTCCATATGTGCTCTGATCATTTTCATACTTTTAATTTCCTTCAAGATACCTTCAAGCTCATTGTTTTTTAAATATTTCTTTATACATTTTTGTTATTCTAATAACCAAAGCCTTTCATCATTTGCTTCTTTTGAATTTCATTTTCATTTCCCTTAAAGTTTTCATTCAGTTTTCTTACATGTGTTTTCTTTGTGTCTGATTCTCATTGACTATGTGGTGTACACTGAACTTGAAATGTTACCTATAGCAATAATGAAATTTCCTTTCTTTTAGAAGATGAAGGAACTTGTTTCTGCTACAGACAATACTGAGCTGGGACCAGCTTAAACCAATTTCACACTATGTAAGTTAGGCTTCCTAGATTGTTCAAGCAAAATTCTGTGAGAGAGGGATACTCTAAGTACAATCTTACTCTGAGGGTATTCTTCCTAGTGCTAATATATTGGAGCAAAGGTTGTTTGTTTTTTGTTTTTGCTTTCTGCTTCTTTTTTATGCAAAGAAATATCATAAGAAAAAGAGTTTTAGAGAATTAAATAAATTCTAAATATAATTTCTTTATTGTCTTGTTAGTCTTCATAACTCAAGAATTTTTTATTGGCCATCTTTATGTCTTCTGCGAAGTGTCTATTCACAGGAATTAGATCTTTTTCAAATGGGAGGAGAACAAGACATGGAGAGAGGGAGGGAAGAAAGGGAAAAGAATTTAAAAAGAGAATTAAAGAAAAATGGAAATAGAGTTTTTTCAATGAGAAAGGGATTAAAAGTTGCAGGGAGAGGAAATGATGGGAGAGGAAGGATACAAAAATTTTAAAAAAGAAATTCAATGTGTTATGTACGTGTACAAACTCCCCACAATAAATGTAGTCACTAGGTAGTTCAAAAAAGTACTGTTACATCTTGTATCTAAATGTCCCCTCAAAGCTTCATGCGATCCTAGGTGTGGCTTTTTGGAGGTGGCTGGATCTAGGGAATTAAAGACATGATGCTAGGATTAATGGTATGGCATTAAGTGTTCTGGGATTAAAGGTCCCCCACCTTTGGTGTGAGTATTACCCACCTACAGGTTGGTAGCCTGGATAGAATATAAAGGACAGAAAGAAGGGTATTGCTGTCCCTTACTGCTTGCTGTCTTCTGCCTCCCCTACTTTGCCATGCACTGATTCTCCTCTATGATGTACCTCTGTGGTACCACCCTGCCTCGGAGCTAGCAGAATATGGACTGAAATCTCTACAAATTGTGAGCTACAATAAACCTTTCCTCCTTTAACTTTGGGTGTCGGGTATTTTGCTTCAGCACCCAGAAAAGTAACTAAGACATGTACTAATAAAAAATACATTAATAAAAATTTTAATAATTCATTAATTTTGATGTTTTTACCTCAAAAGGAAATGTAGCCCAATATTTTAGCCTGCCATTAATAGAAATAGAAAACTGGAAATGAACATTTATTTGCACAACAGACACCAACAAATTCAATTTTCAATTTTGAAGATTTTTATGTTCAGAGAATTGTGAAATTCTTAAGCATAAATTATATAATTGAAACATGATCATGCTTAACTAATGGTCATGTTTAACATAATAACAAGAATATTTAACTATCAAAGTATGCTAATTTATCTAACATCTCCAAAAATATTTTTTCCATTAAGTTTATTGGTACATTTTAGGTATACAATACAGTTACATTCATCATTGGGATCATGTACTTTTATATGATGTATCTTGGTTTTTATTTTTTCCCCATTCCCCTCCCCTCCTTTTATTTCTTTTTTCATTAACTTTTCCAATTATTAAGTTTGAAGTTGATAAGTGTACTTGTAAGTACAGTATATCATCTATCAAAATGTTCAACTCAAAAATGATTTCTTTATCCTAAAAAGAGTCACATAAATGGAAGTATACCAGTACTTACTAAGCTTTTCCACTGATTAAATCAAAGCAAGTGCCTGGATTCTTGACAACTTAGGGAATCTATGCAGAAGAGAAAACATACTCCTACAACTACTTTTTGAGAAAATATGGTATCTTCTGTGTTCTCTTAAGACCAATATTAAAATGGCCTGGTGATAAATTAAAAGTTTTCTTTATCTTAAACTTTTGCTGCAGATTTGACAGTTAGACATTATGAGTTCCAGAATGTGCAACAAGTTCTACAAACAAGATACCTTTCTCCCACAGGTGACAGAACCTGTCAAGAAGGCAGTATACTATACTCTTTTCATATGACACATCATGGTTGAAAAGCCTTCTTTTGCTGGTGTGTATAAGCTTCCTATTTTTGCTCTTTTATTCATATTAGTAAAATAGTCATGGCAGGCAGATTTTAAAAATTGACATATGATTATTTGCCAATAAAATACAGTTCTATATTTAATAATTCATTTTATCATTGTGCATTACATTTTGAGGTAAGAAATCATTTTACATTTTACTTTTTTATCAATAATGAATTAACTTCTTTACCCTTAAATTATACGATGTATACTACTCCTTTTATAGAAATTTTTTCATTTGAGCAGATTTGTTCATTTGATCATCAAATATTCTTTATAACTAAAGGAAAATTATATATTGAGCCTCTTGAGAGAGAAATAATGTATAAAATAGAAATGAATAGACCTTTCTATCTTTCAAAATTATCAAATTTAAGGGCTAAGAGTGGTAGATATTATAAAAATAATCTCAGGAAATATATATATATATATATATATATATATATATATATATATATTAGTAAATAGAATCCTAAGATTCCCAGAGCTGGCATAAACATCTTGAATAATTCCTCTTTTTGAATATGGTAATGTCTCCGAATTCAGTGAGATATGAGTTGAGCACTTAACATATTCAAAAAGCAGCAGCAGGAGTCTCGTGCTGGTCTTAAAAGAGAAAACTAAAAGTAGTAGAAAGTACCATGGAACAAGGAATGTTAGGTAGTTTCAAGGAGCTGAAAACACTAGGAGCAGATTGAGGAAAAATAACAAATAAAGAACCTCAGTCTTACAACCTCAGTGAACTGAATTCTGCTAGCAAATCATTGAGTTTGAAAGAGGTCTATGAGCTGCAAGTGACACAACAGCATAACCTAACATTGTGCTTTCATCCAAGTGAAACAATGTGCAGAAGAGTCAAAGAAACAGTATGAGGCTTATGACCCATAGAAATGCTGAGATAATCAGTGATTATTGTTTTAAGCTACTAAACTTGTGGTAATTTGTTACACAACAATAAAGTCGAATATAGCAACTCAAAAGAATATTTTGAAATAGCGTTTATGTTACCTATTTCTCACTACTCATTTGTAATAACTATATTGCAATGCATAAATTTATCTTGGGAAAAAAACAGCTGATTTCACAAATGCTAAGTTAAAAGTACTTTATAAATGAAATGTTAGTTTCAAAATTTGTGTCACTTTCCCTATGATTATTTTCCAAATAATATTTTCTAACATTGACATGTATCCAAGACAAAATTAAGTAGGAAATCACAAAGGGAAATCATAGTGCAGACAATGTATCATTTTACACACCTGGAACACTCACCCTACATTCTTTTTTCTAGAAATTAGGGAACAGGGCTGGGGATTTAGCTCAGTGGTTCCACCGCCTGACCCACAAGCTCAAGGACCAGAGTTTGATCCCCGGTACCAAAAAAAAAACCCCAAAATAAAAAACAACAACTAGAAATTATGGAACACACATGGATTGAATGTAGAGAATATTAACTCAAATTATTTATACCCTACAGAAGACTGACCAGTAAATATCACTGGAAATGATATAGTTCAAGCATATGTAAAATTGAAATAGAAATGTTCCTAGAAGGAAAACGGGTGGAGCTGTTAAAAATGGGGAGATTTTTATTGCATCTGGTAAACACGGCTTTTGTAATGAGAAAAACAAAATTCTAAAGCATAAAATGGTTCATATATAAAAATATATTCCTCACAATTTTTAAAGTAATACGATGAGTTCTGGAAACACAAGAGAATTACCTTATGTCTTAAGAATTTATCTGTAAAATCTTATATTTTTATATCTACATGAGACGTGAAATCATGGAAGTATGTAGAGTATATGGACAAAAAAATCACTGAGCAAATAACTTTTGGTGACAAAATGTCCTGAAAGAGGTACAAAAGTTTGAACTGGATTTAAATATATAAGCAAATATCAGGGAGATACATGTAAATACAAGTAATTTTCTGGAGAAAATGAAAAATTTACTATGCATTTATGATAGATTATATGTATAGTAGAAGAAAATGATAGCATGAAGTATAATAAAAAGATTTTAAAAAGGGTATATGGTTTTCACTGTCTAAAATAAAAATTTCGTATGTATTCATTAAGGCATGGGCAAACCACAAGCAAATGACTGGCAAAAAAGACTCATGATGAGATTTCAGTTTCAGAAAGATTTCTCTAGAAGTATAGCAAACAAAGATCAGAAAGAAGTAAAATAGCATTAAGGAGTATGGTAAGGAGATGAGTGCTCGGAAGATTATAAACAGGAGACTTGAAAAATCTCAAATGTAGCAATGACAAAGGGAATAAAAAGCAAGAACATATCTGAGACATAGTAAAAAAAGTATATAAGACCACTGTATTAATTAGGAGAAATTTAAAACATCCCCAGGATTCAGTTAAAAATTTTTCCTGGAGTGTGGAGTCATTCATAAAATAACGCAAGAAAGGAAATTGAAAGAAACATAGAGAATGTTTCATATTTATTTTAGTTGCTTCATATAGAATTCATGAAGTTCTAACCAGTACACAGCATGTAATTCTGGGTCTAGAAATTTAGTTGCAGGAATTCTAAACAACTAGTCAACAGGAGGTATGAGTAAATGAGAGTGTACTAAGAAACGATGTGAATCATATGAAGAAAACATAGTAAAAAAGTGAGTGGATAAAAGATGAGGCAGCTCATTCATTGGTTGCAAGTATCAAGATTGCAAGGACTGCAATGTGAATATCTCCATTGCTATTGAAGTAAAATTGGGGACAAATGTAAAAATGGTCTAGTAGATTTGAAAATGAAATGAAATAAAAAACAGTAACTGATATAAATTTCTGTGGATGTCTTTAATAGCAGATTAAATACTGATGAACAGAGAATTAATGAAATGGAAAGTATGTCATGGGTAATTATACAGAATCCAATATAGAAACATAATTAAATACATATAAGGGAATAAAACTATAAAAAATTAAGGAAAACATCTTATAAAATATAAAGAGGATTTGGTAGCAGAGGTAATAGACAAGACACAGAATGAATTCTAAAGAAATTGAATGATAAATCCTCCAGAACTGTATTAAAATTCCAGATTCAAAGAAAGTGCATATTTAACAGAACCACATGTCCAGAAAAATAATCAAACAGAATAGGTAAAACAAACTCATAAAAGCATATGAAACTACAGAACCACACCAAAAAAATAATAAAGACAATGGATAATAAAGATGGATGTACATTACTTTCAAATGTAAGACTATGAGGTAACAGTTGTCTTCACAACAAAATCATAAAAAAATTAATCTTTTAGGAATGCACACTGATATAATGAAAAGTTACAGGAATCAAAATCACTCTATGCATTATCACTGTATGTTTTCAACAATACAAAATGATTTTTTTCTACTTTTTAGATCCACATTCTTGTGCTTCTTGAAGGAGTCAGCTGAGAGGAGTTTTAGTGTTCAACAGTTTTTACGTATTTCTATGATCTGGGAAATTAAGAAAATGTTGCTGCTGTAAGGCTCCATCTTTCTGAACTGTGAGTGCAGTTTTAGAATATATGGCTATAGTGAATGTCTGAACAAAGGTAGAATTTCAAAGTGAATAACAGATCAAAAGCAGGTTTGAAACCAAATAACAGATTAAAGACAGGGCTTGTTTTCCAAAAGTAATATGAATAGCTACAGAGTGTGCTGTCAGATTTTTTCTAAGGCTTCAAAGGAACAATCATTGGTGGGTTTCTTTTTCCTCAGACCTCTGATTAGCTGATCCAGTTGTATATTTTCAGTAACTGCAAAGATAATGTGTATGGCTGCAACTGAAAAGGTTCAATATAAACCTTAAATACAATGCACAGGACATGAGTTAAGGAGAACAATTAGGGTCTAAGTAGGAACTGAAAGCCACAAAACTACGTCTTTCTAGTGTATCTGTATGAACTGTGTGTGTGCATATATTGCATCAATGGTAATACAAAGAGAAAGAAAATAAGTACTTCATGCAGTTTTAAATCATATGTACTCAATAAAATCAATAAATCTATTGAAAACTCTGTTCACACACAGACAAAAGAGTATCAGATTTTTACCCTTTCTGCACTGCAATCTATAATCTTGTATGTGGCAAAGACAAAGCATTGTAGAGAGTCAAAGTAATGACAACAAAAGAATACAAGGATACGAATAATTTTATAGTTTAATGCCAGACAATATTCAGTGTTTTATGCAGTCTTAGCAAAACATACTTGCATGGGCAAAAATAATGAGAATTAAAATCTATAAATTCAACACAGAGCCTCTTGTCTGGTGCCATGTAACCAGATGCAGAATCAGGAAGTTATGGCCAATTTCTTTCTTGTAATTATGCCAATCTGAGAAAAAAAAGACACATTACCAGAATTAACATGCTGTATGACTTTGTGAATGCCCCTTCAAGCTGTCAGTCTTCTTGCCAGTACTACAGCAGTAGCATTAACCAACAGGAGTATGGACCTATTTCAAGCCCAGGTGTCAAGCAATTTGAAATGCATGAGTTTCTTGTTGTGAAACAACCATTTCCTCTGAGACTTGTATTGTCCTCATCACTCCTGGAACTGTGCACATGGTGAATATGCATTTGCTTGCTTTTTACATGAAAATTTCCAAGAAAACTACTAGAGTATTGCTGTGTACTGCTCTCTCTGTAAGTTCTTGCAGCAGGGATCAGAAAGACAAGCTGCAAGAAGGGAGGGAGGCATTGAATTTGAAGACTACACTAAAACAGTTTGAAATTGTGACATTATTAGTAAACAAAAATCAGTGCAAAAGATGGTCTCTGACTTAAAACAGACAGGTACACAATCAAGCATTCTTTAATCCTTAAACAAAAGTAAACTAACATCTTTCCATTTGTAAACACAATGAGAATTCCTAAGTTGCTGTGCTTAGCATTTTTTTTTTCCTTACCTGATTGGCAGTTTAGCCCCCCCACACACACACTAACCATGGAATTACCAAAGGTAATTATGAATAAATACTTTAATGTATTTTTCTTGGACTTACCTGGCAACAAGGCTTGTAAAATAACTTGCTTTTCTCTATCTGTTAACAGACCAAAATATCCTGTCCTTGGGACAAATACTTATACAGATATGAGTCCCTAGAATAATGGATTTATAATTATTTTTCATATTGTAGTAATATAAAAATAAAAGCATTCCTTTAATTATTTTTTCTTTAAATTCTTTTTCCCTTGTTTCTCTCCCCCATTCCCTCCTCTCTTGTTCCTTTCCTAAGGGAAAAGAAAACTTTTTCCCAAGAAAAAGTTCTTCCTACTGAAAAACTAGAAATAGAGTTTTTGCAAATAGGGAGAAGAAGAAGGGTTAGAGGGGACCAAAAAAAAGAATTAAGATGTGCTATGTACACGTACGAATTCCCCATGACGAATATAAGCATTGTGTACTGCAAACATTTACTAATAAAAAAATAAATAAAAATAAACATGTTAGAAGACTTACTTTAATTTTAGCATTCTTATTATCTAGAGAGTTAAGTGTATTAGGAAAATATAAATTGACTCTTCATAGTCTATCTGAAGATCATATAGGAAAAATTCTATAGCTAAAAATGCTATTTTTGTTTATAAGAAAAACAATATGCTTGGGGAAAAGAAAACAACTAATATGTTAGATCAACCAGAATTAGTAACGTGACTAAGGTTTTTCTATAGAAATGTAAGTCCTGGATTCAAACGGCTTAGGTTCTACTGACCATCTTTGAAGAACTAAATAATCTCTGCACCTCACTTTTGTAATGTTTAAAATGAAAATAATATTCTATACAAACTCTTTCAGTGATTATTGCAATAATTAGACTTGTTAACACTGTTAAAGTAGCAATACCAATACCTGGAATGTTATCTGCGATCAATAAAATTTAAAAATTACATTTAATAGTTTTTTGTTCAATTCAGTGACTGGTATCACCGCTATATTTTAGGAAATATAGGAAAAATGTCTAAGAATGGTTAAGATGTCTCCACAAAATTCTAATTTATTGTGATTTATGACTTTATAAGAAAGTCTATCTATAAAAAGAAGATAATTTAGAAATTAAAAAATATAAAATAGCTTATATGATCCATCAACAATACACATGTAAAGATCTCTGATACTGTTCATTGAAATATTTTCTGAAGGAGAACTTGAAAAGAGCCTTATGCTTCCCAGGAAGAAGTTGTATTTAAAAAATGTGTTGAACACAGTTCTGTGTGCATGGATATATAAATAAAATATGCCCAAAAGATTTTCTGGATAGCTGTAAGCTAAAAAATTACCCAAGAGATGAGACTCTGGAGTGAATATCTTTATGGTGAAAGTATGAAAACTATACCCTAATTAAAGCATCAGGAATAATGCTGATCTCAAGAATCTAGTAAGCATTTTCCCTGGAAAAGCATTCGCTAATTGGAAAAAATAGATCTATGCTAAAAGGTAGTCCCAGGAAAACATGATGCTAATTTTTTTTTTCAGTGCAAATTAAGATAGCTTCTAAAACTGGGAACAAAAAACAACACATTTCCAAGCATAAAAAATTTTCAAATTGTATTGCAGCATTGCTTGCATTTAAAATACAAGAGTCAAACTTCACATTTACTGGAGCTTGTGATCTCCATGAACTCCTTATTGAGTGTTAGGAGATCAGCGAAAAATCACTTACCTTATATTAAGCCTATGCATAAAAATACCTGAATTTCTCCCTAATTCATTATGTTCATTAAATGCTCCAAATAGTGGGGAAAATTATTATCTACAAGCACAATTTTGAATATTTCCATAAATAGGGTCTTGTAGAATTATAGCAAAAGAGAAATGTATTTTCAACAGGTGATTGTCAGGTAAAGGAGCCAAAAGCCAAGACCAGACCAGAACCACAACAAGCCTTTATTGTAGGGACGATCTGCGGGGCTGTCTCCAAACAGAGAGAAAAGCAGTATGGCCTGGACAGGGAGCTCTTCTCAGAGGAGCTGGGGTGGGGCTTGTAGGAGCTGGGATGGGGTTGAGTGATGTAGTGTCTAGGGACTGGAAGAGCCTGTGATATCACTGGTTGCTAGGAAGAGAGCAAGTATCAGGTTACTCTTTTGGTGGGGAAAGGGGCATGTTGGGCAAAAGGTTGTTCTTTGATGGGAGAAGCCATCTTGGGGTTGGGTTTTAGGTGGGGAGCAGGGCATTATGAGAAAGAGGCCACTTTGGGCGGAAAGAACCCATCTTGGAACTGGGTTTAGATGGGGAGCAAGGTATTATGGGAAGAAGAAGGCAGCTATTATATATAGCAGCCATCTTAAGGTGAAGGAAATCTATCAGTGATTTTCTCAACTTTCTTTTTTAATGAAAGAATTTCTTCCAAAGCATACTTCGGCAAAGTGTGCAGTCTGAGTTTGATAAGAGTAGAATATTCAAGAGTGAGGAAGTTGCTTCTTTAATGCTAATAATTCATTAGCATTTACATTCTTCTAACACAAGCTCTGCTAGATAAAGAAGAATTTATATTGACTTTTATTTAGTGAGAGAAATGGACATGCGCAATAATCACTAGGTTGATGGTGGCCTCATTCTACTAATGATAGTCTTTTTAATTAAACATACATGTGACTAGGACTCTGAAGATCTCACTTTCTGTCAAGAGCCTTCATCCATGAATGAAGACAGCCCTTCATGGAAAGTCACTACTTTCCACTTGTGATTATTTTTACTGTTAGATTATAAAGGCCACAGAGTTTAATACCAGAGCTCAGACAAATGTTCAGTTTTCTGAGCTCCACAACCTTTGCCAAATTTGCTCCTTTCCATTCTTATCTGGCTTTTATCAGCCAGTGCTAGGCCCCTGTATTTTTTTTTTTTTTTTTGACTTGAGAAGCGGTCTGTGATGTACTTTCATGTCTGAGCTTGGAAAGAAAAGAGTTAACATATGCCCTGCAGTTCTTCACCCAACTCCTCAACTCCTAATCAATTTCCTGTTCAAGGAAAAACTGTCACCTCCTAGGTCAGAGAAGGGAAATTCTCAAAAAAAATATCTATTTTGTAAAGGTATTTGAGGAGATCATTAACTGAAAATTATTACTGACCAATCAACTAATAAAAAATGCTAACAGTAAAACAAAACAGTTTTACGAAAACAATCTAAGATTAAATCTTTTGAAATTGTACTTCAAGAACAGCCTGATGGTGAACATATAAGTGATCATAATTTTTTTCTGATATCACCAAAAGGGGAAAAAATAACAACAAAGTACATTACGTGAAAATTTGATAAAACCACAGATGTAAACTGAGAACACAAGTCACAGCTGTAGCTATTCAGATATCACAAAATCTCAAATTTTCATTCAAAAAGTGAAATTATACACATCGTTCCTTGACGTATTTTGTTTGCATCAGTCATTCTGCCCACCACGTGATGCCCAATAGTTTACTCTTATTGACTTAGGAATATCACTTGTCATTGCTTTGAACTTCAGTTCAGTTTTTTGGAACTTCACCCTTTTATCAGTTACATTTAAAAAA